GATGTTTCAAAATTCTCAGCTCCTTCACCTCTTGTTACATTAACTTGGGCAAGGTATTTAAGTCTTAGTTAACTCATCTGTCAAAAAATGAAAACCAGGATGAAAAGATCACTTTCAAGAGGCAATAGGAGTAAGGGACAAGCTGATCTACAAATGCCTGGCAGAAGACTTGGCACGCAGCAGGTGTTCAATAAATACCAGCAAGTAAAAGCACCTTCCATTATTCAGCCTGGTTTTCCCTGGTTTTCCCTCCGGAGAGCCAGGCCAGGCTTCCTGCAACGATTTCAATAGGTCCGGTTCATTTGGCTCTGAGGGCCATCCTTTTTCCTGGAAAACTCTCTCCATGAAGCCTCCATCTTCCTGACTTTGCCTGCCTCCCCCTTTACAAGTCTCAGCTTTAAATATTGTTTCCTTGGGAAGCTTTCCTAGGTGCCTACTTTAGGCTAAGCCTCCTTGTTAAGCAATTCTTGTACCTCCCCGCTGGTAATGAGAAACACACGCACTATATCCTCAGCGCAAATCACCCCTAAAAGCTGGATGAACATAACGCACACACCTATGTCACCTACAACAACATCAGGCATGAACAAATGCTTGTGGGGCACTCACGCACTGAGTTCAGAGTTTCCATCCGAACAGAAAGAATGAGCTTATGTGCTACAGCCAAAGTACTTCCTTTGGAAGATAAAACTATTTCAGGAATCAGAAAATAATCAAAAAGCCAAGGTCAAATCGGTGTTTTTCCTTTTTTTTTTTTGTACTCGATTAAACCCTAGGCCTCATATATGCTAGGCAAGTGCTCTATCTACATTGAGCTACAGTCCCAGCTTTTTTTTTATTTTGAGGGACAGTCTTGCTAAGTGGCCTGGGCAGGCCTCAAACTTGCAATCTTCCTGCCATCACACCTGGTAAGTCAGAGCATTTTTAAGACCAAGGTATTTATTTGATTTTAAAGCTCACTGAATAGCACGAGCCTTTCCTGAAGCACACACTGAGTCTTTCCTGGTAGATTATAAAGAACTCATATCTCATAGCGTTTAGCTTGTCTGTCAAAAATCAACAGCCCTCCCAGAGGAGCAAGCAGTCCAATTCCCCAGCTGGTTTTTATTCACACTAGAAACTTTAACTCTGTTCTAGGCCTCACAAAATGAGAGCTGTGTCCACACAAAGCCACAACAACCAGCCAATTCACTGAATCCCATGAAATAAGCCAATTCACTGGGGGTGGGGGGGACACACACAAACTGTCAAACTGGTTACTTGGTGCCTTACAGACCAAACAATGCGTGATTGAATTGGTTGGCTTTTCAATAGATTGTCTTGTCATCTGGCAGCTACAGTGAAGTGAAAGATTTTCTTTATCATTCACTTTTCAATATATACATATATATATATAAAACAAGAACACATCAGATAGAAAGGTAAATAGCCAATAATGTCTTCTTTTAAAATCATGGTCAAACACACCAAGTTCAGCAATCTGAGCAAGCCCCAAAGGCACATTTGTGGAGTAAGGCTCCCCAGCCTCTCTTTTGGCTTTAAAATAAGAGCCACTGATCCCAATCTCGTCTTTGCAAGTACATGGCACTGGGAGACAGAGACCATGTGCAGCACCACCGCTTCAGACAAAGCTCTATTCATGGCCCCCGTTGAAGTGCAATCACAGAGTTTCAATTTCATTCAGCTGAGTGCGGAAGGCTACCACTGAGGGCGGGCTGCTGAATGGTTCCGCTGGGAAAAGGACCTAGAAGGAGAGTCAGCTTTACAGTCTGCACTTTCATTAGGAGAGATGAAAGCGCGTCCCTCACTGACTCCAGTTTTACGGTGAAGCACTAATCTAGCAAATTAGGGAAGGGCACTGAGTGATTTTTCTTTCTGTTCATCACACTGTACCCAGACCATGGCTTTTTTGTTTTTGTTTGACTGGTTGCCAGAGTAAGCACCAAGAAAGCAGCATTAAAACTTACACAAAAGGCGGGAAGTGCTATGTCAGACCTGGTTTCTCCTTCTCTGAGTTCATAGTTAGCCTACCTCACCTCTAGGTCTTCCCTGTCCAGTGCTGGAGCCTCGCCCACGTCCAGCTACAAGACAACAGCAGTGAGGCTTCCCCACTTGCGCCATGCTCCATCATCCCTCACAACCCCAGAGGGAGGTGCTCCCTCTTGTACAAAGGGATGTGGAGAGGTGACTCATGCCTAAAGTTCAAGTAAGGCAGTAGCGTAGTTGGGATCTGCAGCTGCTAACTACTACACCCCTCTCTCTCTGAATCCCCTCCTCTGCACGGGCTCTCCGCCCACACACAGTTTCTCAGGGCAGAAGACCCATTTTCAGTATCAGTGAAGGTCTTGCTGTCCTAGCTGGGTGCTAAGGTGTGGCCATGACAGAGGCTGGGCCACTTCCGGTGAGGTGTTTAATATGCAGGAGTTGTTTTTCATGACCAACACAAATCGGAGTGCAGGGCTTTTCCCCTTACTTCAGATGAATGTTATATTGCTTTGTCATGCCAATAAAATCAAAGGTCAAGTCTCTCACAGAGGGGCTGGTTTGGCATTCTCTGCCCTGAGCCTACCCTGTTTTTCCAGTAAAACAAGTGTCAGTCCAACTTAAAGGCAGCAATGTTAATGGGAGGTTTGCTATGGTGGCAAGGACTTTCCTCTTTTGCCTTGGGAAGACAAAGTAGCTACACTCATTCCAAAGCACCATTCTCCACGGCAGAAAAAGACCATTTCACCTTCTACTCACTCTTGCCAAAGCATACTCCTAAGCTGACTCCTGGCACGTGGAGTCACTCAGAGAAGCAGCCGGGCACTGGCAGGAGCATGGCTATTTCCAGGCTCCAAAAGTCACTGTGCTCACCAAGCCTGAACCACGGGTGAGCTGGTGAAAGCTCGGCTTATTGGGAACATTTTTTACAAGCATCACTTGCACCAAGTATTAAAAAAATGTCACCAGAAGGCAGGAAAAAAAAAAGTTTTACAGTAATTCAGGGCACTGTTATGACACTTCCCTAATTCCCACGTGTGCAAACACCTCCACAAATTAGAAGATTAGCAGCACTCAGATAAGCTGTTCTGGCATCCCTGGGAGTGAGGAGGAAGAGAAAAAAGCCAAAATGTATAAAATGTTTGCATTCCAATATTACTAAACAGGGGTGCTTTGGGACCATATTGGGAAGCTTCTTAAATAAGGCTTCCTAAGTAAGGACTGCTTTTGACAGGTCTGTCTCCCACCAACCTCTGGAGAACAAAATACTGGAGGCAGACCATTCCAGGGGATAAACAACCACAGGGATATCAAATAGGAGAAGAAAGTACTGGTATTTATTAAGAATCATCAAGAGGGGCCAGAATACAGTACTGCCCTTCCATTCTCCACACTGCACAGGTAGGAAACTCTGGAAGCTCCTGGCAGTGCTGACGGAGGGGCACTCTGCACACTGCAGGGAGCACAGGTGAATAAAATTCCTCAGGAGACACCGAACTGGCTTCCTATGTTGTATGTCACAAAAGAACTGTGAGCTCTCAAGACAGCTTGGTCTCCAGGACTTCTGATCCGTTGTCTTGAAACAGTGTAAGTTTGGGGCAACTTTTCTTTCCAAAGGTCCCTGCAATACCTTTAAACAAGTGACTTTGTTCTCTGCTATTTTGTGAGAACAAAAAAACCTTGCAAGGTGGGGAAACCATTCTGTATATTATAATGCTGGTCCAGGGTTATTGTATTTCTACTGCAGTCTTTCACCAGGACATCTTTCTCCAAAAAACAAAACAAAACAAAGCAAACAACACAGTATTTTCCCCTACTCTAAATGAGGGGTGGATGGATTGGGAAATAATTTTTCTGTCTCAAAGTCCAAGCCCCAAAAGACAAGGTACTACCTAGAGATCTCTGCCCTGCAAACTACAATTTCACGTAAGAGAAGTCAGCAGCATCTGCATGTGGGATTGCTGCCTCTACAGCTAGCAGAGTAGGTCTGACATGTATAATACATACTGTTAACCTTTTCTTCCCTTCCCTTTGCCTCCCTGCTCCACTCGTGATCCCAAAAGAAAATCTGAGGCTCTCACTCTAGAAGAACTAAGTGAAGGCTTTAATAATGGAACTAGATGACACTCTTATTTTACAAATATGAGACAAGTTTAGAAATCTCCCTTACCAGATTCTTTTTCATCTGTGTACCCCAAAACCTTTCCCTATTTGTGTGGGCAAATAACCATCCAATCTCTCACTAATCTAAAATACAGGCACCTTTGTGTATCAGTAAAGGGAAGAAGGAGCATTGAAGAGATAAATGGATGACATATGTTCAGCAACAAAAGACTGGGGCATGCAATTTTGCATTCTGGTGTTCAAGTGAAGAAAGAATAAGCAGGGAGGGTAGGGGACAAGGAAAAACAGCAATCAACTTGTATCATGTACACGTACAAATTCTCTATGATGAATGTAATCACTGTGTATACCTAAAGTGTACCAATAAACTTAAAAACAAAAAAGATCAAGCAGACTGTCGCTGGCTTGACCACTTGTCAGAATGCTGACAAGTTTTGTGCTACCTGGTCATTTGGATGGTTAATCACTGTTTTAGAGAAAGACAACTCAGGCTACCCAGCCAAAGTCCTACCTACTTGAGAGCTGCCAGTAGTAGCTATCTGTGACACTGCTAACTTTCTAATGGTGGGTCTAACAATGAATTTTCTCTTTCTCCACTTTCTCCCACCCCCTCCCGTTCCTCTCTCTCTCTTGCGCGCGCGCGCGCACACACACACACACACACACACACACACACATACAGAGCAGGGTTGTTTGGTTGTTTGTTTTACCAGAATAAGATGCTCCTGAAAAGTCATTGTCAATCAGCTCTCACTGAGACACTGTATAAACCAGTGCTGGTGAGCCTATGACACACATGCCACATTGGCCTATTTATATCATTAAAAGCTTTAAAAGATTCACCATCACTGGTGTAAACCATTTCTGTGATTCATTCTAAATTGGTGTCTTACCTTAGTGTTCCTCCTTAGACTTCGAAGAATATTCCTCCTCCTTGGGTCTTCGTCCGTTTCATACGGAATGACAGCATTGTCCCCTTTATAACCTTGAGATGCCTGATCTTCCTCTTTCTTCCGTATTGGCCCCAGCTCATCATCACTCCCCACACTGAAGCTGGTTCGGTAACTAGCAAACCGCCCCAACCGGGTGCATCTCGTCCTGTATAGCACTGGCTTGCTCACCATGGACACCTTGCGGCCTCGTTCTAGAGAACTGGTGTCCATTTCACTGTCGGAACCATTGCCACTGCCGTTGGACTGGGCTTTGTTGATATTCCGAATGGTGATGATCTTGCCTTGGGTGCTGTCATGGGGCACAGAGTATATGTTTTCCTCTTCATTCCTTGGCTTGACTACAGCATCCATTGGTTCAGCGTAGTCAGAAGGGTCGAATCCATCCTGAGGCAGCCAGGGGCTAGAAGATACCGACTTCCTCTGCCCATCCCTATGCCCTTGATCTAGGTAAGACAGATCTCCCTTTGTAATGTCAAAATGGACAGGAGGCTTTGGTTTGACTGGTGGAGGTACTTTGTTGTTCAGTTTACTCTCAAAATTGCTCATGATGAACGACAGCCCGTCATTCCCCTCCAGTTCCATAGACAGCTTGGAATGGTCTTTGGACAGAGAGGGCAGTGATGTGTCTTCTCGAAACAGGCTGTAAGACGGGGGCTCGATATCCTCTTCCGAATCCTGCAGGTTGGAGTTGCAGAGGGGAGACCCTGCCCGAGGGGAGTTAAACACCTCCTCAGTGGTGCTACAAGCCTCAGCAACGTTATCATACATATGAGTGGCCTCGATTATGTTCTTTTTCTCCACTACATCTTTAAAAAATGGGTGAAATATCTCAAGTTTATGCTGAGGCTGGCTACAGGGGATGCTTGTGAACCTTCCATCAATTTCTTGAGCAATCTCTTCCCCCTCCATCAGCTGTTCCCGACTTAAGTCATTGTCCAGGACATCTACAGCGCCGTCAGTGAGTGCTACAAGCTGGATGGGGATAATATCCTGCACTTCACAAAGAAAGGCACGTAACATAGCCAAGGAAGCCTTACGTTTGGCTGAATAAAAAACAATGTACCCATGGACCAGCCGACTCTTTCTGATACTAAATGAGGAATGGTATGAAAGAATAGACAGTTCAATCCGTTTCTTGTGTATTCCGATTGGAAGTTCAAGTAAAACAGAGTTGTTGCTTCCACAATGGGAAGATTTACAGGTTTGGGACTGAAGAACAGGAAAGAGTATGTCGTCTGCACTAAAGGGATCCCCACACATGAGACACATAACAATTCGCAGATCGACATCAGCCAAATCTTTGATACTAGCAGTTGAACTGACTAGATTTAAGTTACGCTTAGAGTCTAGAAGTCCCTTCAAAACCTGACTGATTTGCTTCTCATTAATGTTGCGTCCATAGCCAATGCCAGCAGAGGCGGGGTCAAGAAAGACACACTGAAGTTTACTGGCAATTTGCTGACCTTGTTGTATTAAGCTATGCAGGGTCTCTCCACTGGTGTCTCCTCTCTTGTTAACCAAAATTAATGTCAGGGGAAGGTGAACTAAATGATTATCCCGCCTCCCCAATGTGGACTCCCTGCTCTTCTCTATACTTTCCACTACATAGGAGAGTGACTCTTTTGAATTGTAAAGGCAGAGGCAGCCATGGGGTTGAAAGGTTGGTGTCTGGAAAGAGTTCACAGGAAGCCTAACGTTCCCTTCTATTGGCCTCAGGGAAAGCTCATACATTTTACCATCTATCACGTACTTGTCATCATTTGTACAAAGAGCTCGAATCTCATTGGCTAGCTCTCTGGCAAGGCCATCTTTGCCTAAGATAACCAAGTTGATCCTATCAATGTTGGGGTCAGAGAGTGAATTTTTCTGATTCCGGTCTGATGGCCGGATAAACCGAGAACTAATCAAGTGCTCAATCTTAGCATCCACACAAGCTGGGCAGCTGGGGCATGTCTCCTTTGTTGGGTGGTAAACAAAATGAATGTGCTTCAGAATGAGGGCATCACGCTCTGCTTGGAGCTTCTGCAATGCTTTAAATCGCTGTTCCTCTCCCAGAACATCCTGAATGACACCCATCTTCTCTTTGCTGGGCTTAGCATCCAGCTCTAACTCATAAAACAATTCTGAGTACTCCAAAAGTAACTCCTGAAACTCTTCCTTTGCTTTGTCTATAATTTGCTTTTGGTGTTTGCCATAAATATCCATGTATACAGATTCCTCTAGCCACTGGTAGAAATCTTCATTCATAATAAAACTACGGGCCTCTTCCCAAGGTTTTCCAGGAGTTATAAAAGGTGAGGTCTCCAGGTTTTCTTTGAATGCCCTTCTCATCTCTGCTCTCTTCCTCTCATTTCTTAGCTTCTCTAAGTGGGCCTCGTACAGCTGCTCTGCCGGGACGGTGTCCATTAAGTCAAAGGGAATCCGTTCATTTTCCATGTTGTCAATGTGGCTGGTGGCATCCCATGGTGTCTCTTCAAGCACAACAAACCACTTCAGGAATTCTGGCTTGGTCTCTAAGAGTTTTTTGGCTTTTATGCAGCTTAGGTGGTCTATTTCATCTAGATTAGGTATAAGAGCTTCAAAAGCTAATGGCAGGGCTGCTAGGTACAGCTTTCTCCTGCGCTCAATATGTTCATGCTTGAGGCGGTGGATGTGCTGTAGAAACAGCTTCTTGGCTTTCTGAGTCCCTTCCAGGTAGACATAGTCCTGGTACTCTGGGGAGGCCTGCATTTTTCGGCTGACACTCAGCCAATTCTCATTGTGGTTTTTTACAATACGACTCACCAGCCACTCATACTTGTCTTTTGCTGTAGCTATCTGCTGACTCTGCTGCTTGAGAGCTTCAAAGTAAGGAATGATTTTAGTCTTTCCCCGACTTTTATCAATGAGTTGCACTAAGGTGCTGAAAGCCAAGTCCACATTTACATTGGATCTCGCGGAGGTCTCTACAACCTGGAGGTTCTTTTTGCTTAAGGCAAAAGTATGTGCATCTCTAATGTACCGCTCAACACCCTCATCACACTTAGTCAGGACCACCACGATGGGCTTTTTTGTTTTTGCAAGCTGATTGTAGAGATTGGAAACAAACTTGAGCTGGTCATCAAAGTTCCTATTCATGCCCCTGCTTACATCAATACCAAGAAGAAAACCATCTATCAGCAGCTTTCCATCTGGCATTTGTTTCTGCTCAAAGTCCTGCTCCAGTCCCAGCTGGTCAGTGCAAAAGTACATGAGTTTTTCAGCTGATGCAAGTTTCGTTGCAGCAGCTCTCTTGATGTAGGGCTGCAGGGCCGTGCTTCGATGAGGTTGGAAAGTCTGATCATCAATGAATTCAGTCTGTTCCACAATGTGCATCTTACATTCCACACAATCCTCCAGGGAGCGGCTAACTTCTCCCCAGTAGAGAAAGTGGTCATTATTGACCACTCGCCCACCGAAGTCACTGGTGCTGAGGACAGAGGTATGATCCAAGTGAAACTCATCAGCACTGGGGCGCACAAAGCGGTTGCACAGACAGGACTTCCCAATGCCACACTGGCCTTTCTCCTTCTCGGTCCCAGACAATCCCACCACACTGATGTTGTAGGTGGGAATGCGGACATCTTGCTTTCTTGCCATCATCATCGTCGACACATCCTGCCACAATTAACCACTTCCAAGATCAGATTAGTGTTTTCCAGTGGAGTGGAGGGCTTCTCAACATCACCAGTGGAGGATGGCTGCCCATGGAGCAGACGTTTCAGGTCCCATAGTGCTCGTATACCCTATGAGGTCAGTTTTTACTGCTTCTCATTGTCAAAGAGCCAGCATTTCTTCCTAAATGAAAGGGGAAAAAAAAAAAAAGAAAACATCAGCATCATTTTGGAACCCAATTTTAAACCCTGAAGTATAACAAAAATCATTTAACTCAACAAATATTTAGTAAATATCTAATGTGGCAGGCCTTAGGCTAGGTGAAGATATGCGGGAATAACACTGACATCTATGCACTCTCAAAGAAGTGCCATCCAGATGCTGCAGGAGGATATAAACAAAGCATGTGCTAAATGCTAAAGCAAGACTATGAGGACTCCTCAGAAAAATGGCTAATTCCAGACTAGCACAAAGTGAGTAGAAGATCATCCAGGAACATCTTGTGCAAGAAAAAACAACAGGACACCTCACAAGCACAGGGACACTATCTTGAAGGGCTTCTCACTGGCCAACTCTGGGACAATTTGAATACCAAAGTAATTAAGTAATAAATTATAATAAACTGCAAAAAATTGGAACATGAATCAGGCAAAAATCATGACCACATGCTAAATCTAAGGGGAAAATCTGGATGAGGAGCAGGATATTTATAGTATATGAAATTCAGGTGTCTCCTGACATATTAATTAGCTGCAAGGGAGAGAGGAAGGAAAGCAACAATAGACAAAAAAGCAATTACAGTAAAGAAAAAAGGCAATACTTGGGGAAAATAAAGTTAAAATCAATGATGAGGGATACAAAGATATCATGGACCTCCAGATGTGGTATCCCCGAAGAAATACCTCACTATGCAGTAATATGCCTTAGAAGGCATAATATGAACTGAATCAAACACAGAACACAAACGCACATTCAAATCTGATAAAAAAATATTTTTTCTAAGAAAAAGGTAGGCACTGTGGCTTTTTTTTAAAAAAAAAATCTTAATAGAAAGAATGACTATGTAAATGTTCCAGATAAGAGGCTAAAAGGATTTTTTATCTAAATGTAATTATTTGACCCTAGACTAAATCTCGTACCTGATGAGGAAATGAAGGCTATATTGAACAACGGATCAATTAACAACATTAAACTATAAGAATATCAAGAAAAATATTTTTAAACAAAGTCAGTACACAAAAATCAGCTGCAGTTCTATATCCTAACAAAGAATAATCTGAAAAGAAAATTATCAAAATAAATCCTGCCAGGTATGGGTGGTTCACATCTATAATTTTAGCACTCGATGGGCTAAGGCAGGAGCGTCAATGCAAGTTTGAGGTCAGCCTGGGCTACATAGTGAGTTCAAGGCCAGCCTGAACTACATAGTGAGACCTGGTCTCATAAAAACCTAAATAAATAAATAAATACATAAATTACAAATAAAAATAAATCCAGCTGAGCATGGTGACATATGTCTATAATCCTAGCCACTTGAAAAGCTAAAGTAGGAAGGTCGTAAGTTCAAGGCTAGCCTGGGTAACTTAGCAGTAAGACCCTAGATCCAAATAAAAACAAAACAGTAACAGAGAACTAGAGATATACAGCTTAGTGATAGAATGTCTCTGGATTCAATCAATCCCCAATATTTTCCCCTCATCCAAAATTCATTTCCAAAAGCATTAAAAAAAAAAAATAGAAAGCTAAGTGTGGTGGTACATACCAGCAATGGGGACGCTGAGGCAGGAGAATTGCAAGCTCAAGGACAGCCTGGGTTACACAAAAATAATGACATAAATTAGCCAAGAAAGTAGAAGATCCAGACAATGAAAAGAAATTGAAGACATAAATAAATGGAAACATCCTATATTCATGGATTATAAGACATAATGTTGGTAAGATGTCAACACTACCCAAAGTGATCTACAAATTCAGTATAATTCTTTTTTGTTTTTCTGCACAAATATAAAACACATCTTAAATTCCTATGGAATCTCAAATGATCCTTGACCAACAAAACAATCCTGAATGAAGCTATAAGACTCAGACTTCCTGACTTCATACAAAGCTACAATAATCAAAACTGTGTTCCTGGCACAAAGACATAATATAGACCAATGGAATATAATAGCTCAGAAACAAGCCTTCTTATATATGGTTAAATGATTTTTGATAAGGATGCAGAGATTTATGGAGAAAGGATACTCTTCAACAAATGATGCTGGGAAAATTGGATATCCACATACAAAGAAATAAGGTTAGATCCTTACCTACTACAAAAATTGACTCTAAATGGAGCAAAGACTGAAAACTAAAAACTTTTACAAGAAAACATAGGGCAAAACCTTCATAACATAGGATTTGGCAATGATTTATTGGACATGACATCAAAGGTACAGACAACAAAAGGAAAAACAAACTGGATTTCATAAAAATTTAAAAATTTTGTGCATCAAAAGACAGTATTAGCCAGGTGTGGTGGCGCACATCTGTAATTCTAGTACTCAAGAGGCTGGGGCAGGAGGATCACTGTGAGTTTGAGGCCAGCCTGGGCTACAAAGTGAGCTCAAGGCCAGCCTGAAATGCATAGTGAGACCCTGTCTCAAAAAGACAAAAAAAAAAAAAAAAAAAAAAAAAAACACGAAGCAAAACAAAACAAAAAAAACATACAAACAAACAAAACAACCCAGCATGAACCAGGTATGGTGGTGCAGGGCTGTGATCCTAGCATTCAGGAGGCCAAGGCAGGAGGATAGCCACAAGTTCAAGACCACCCTGGGCTATGCAGTGAATTCAAGGCCAGCCTGACTACATGGTAAAACCCTGTCTCAAAAAAAGAAAAAAAAAAAACTATCAACCAGACGAAAAAAAGATCACACACACATATCTGAAAGGTAAAATGGCAACCTACAAAATAAAGGATTGCAACTCATGTAAGGGATTAATATCCAGAATATATACATCCTAAAACTCAACAACAACTTAGTTCACAAATGGACTGCTGGGCATAGTGGTCCATCTCTATAATCCCAGCGCTCTGGAAGGCTGAGGCAAGAGGATGGCAAGTTTGAGCACAGCCTGGGCAACTTAGTGACTTATTGAGACTCTGTCTCAAAATACAAAACACAGTTCAGTGTGATAGGCCTGGGTTCAATCCCCAGCACAACAGAAAAAGGGAGTGAGAGCAAAGAAAACAACTTGATTAGACATTTCTCCAAAGATGAGAGACAAATGGTCAACAATACATGATGTCCAACATCAGCAAACTAATACAAAAAGAAGAAAATTATTAGAGAGGATGTAAAGTAATTATAGTCTTTCTGTGATGTTGGCAGGAATTTAAAATAGTTTACAATAGCTACTGGAAAGACTATGGCCGTATCTCAGGAAGTTACAGGAATTACCAAAGGACCCAGCAATTTCTCTCCTGGATATATACTTAAAAGAACTCAAAACAGAGTCTTGAAGAGATATTTGTACATCTACAGTCACAGTATCATCGTTCACAACTAAACCATGGAAGCAACCCACATGATCACTGACAGATGAAAAGTTATGGAAAACATGGTACATACACATAGTGGAATATGAGTCAGCCTTAAGGAAGGAAATTCGGACATATGCTATAAGTGAAGTCTAAATACATTAAGTAAAATAAGACAGTTATAAAAAGATAAATATGATTCCACTTATATGAGGTACGTAAGAGTAGCCAGAGACTGCAAACAGAATGGCGGCTGCTGATACTAGATGGAAGAGAGATAGGGAAGCATTACTTAATGGGCATAGAGTTTTAGTTTTAGAAAAGGAAAGAGTTTTAGAGACGGATGGTGGTGATGTTTGCACAAAATTATGAATGTATTAAATTCCACTCAACTATACAGGAAAAAATGGCTAAGTTGGTAATTTTATGTATTCACAATTTTTTTTTTTTTGGTACCGAGAATCGAACTTAGGACCTTGCACGTGCCAGGGAGGCACTTATGCCACTGAGCTATATCTCCAGCCCTGTATTTACAATTTCTTTTCTTTTTTCTTGGCGGGGGGGG